ATCCTCTCGGAAACTCTACGAGAGTTGCCCACCAAAGGTCAAAAACTAGTGTGTTCACACTTCTTCTCCCTCCTAGTCTGCGAGCACTGGAATGTATTAATAGCAGAGGTAGTCTCCGCCCCATCTGTTGAAAGCCTCAAGAAAAGGCCAGACAGTCACCCAGAGACCCATAGTTTATCAACATAAAGCTCGAATAAGAACTAAACAGAAGAGACCTTCTGCTGTCACCCCTTTCCAACTATTTTACCCCTACAACCAGTTTTATTTCTACTGTAACCAACTAAGCCTTTCCACCTCTTTTTCGCCTTACTTGGGTGTAAGTAGATTGCCCTATTGGTTCACTTTTTCCCCGCTTTACCCACAAAGGTTTTCTCTTCTCCATCCCTAACTCTCTATAACGACCAGTCCGAACAACTATCTAGCAACTCAACATCTGAAGAAACCAAGTGTACCACAGTCGAAGGCGAACTAACAAACACTTGACCTCCTGTTCTGTATAACTGAGCTATCGCAGACGAGTGGCTGGATCTACTACATCGGAATTTGTCAAAAACCTTGAACTATTCCTCAAGATCAAGAAGCAAGCAAGAAGAAATCAACCGGTTTATACAAGCTCGTTAAAGATATTGGACAGTGAATATTAGTGTTGGAGTTCAAGGACCGGTTCCACTGGAGCTGGCCGTCGTATAACAAGTTTCGCCACTACGCACGACTCCCTCCAGCCTGCCAGCACCAAGATATCTCATTTCTTTAGAAACGTAGCCAAATGTCTCCGCAGTAACGTGAGGGGACTTAGAAGTAGGGTGGGGGAATTACGATTTCTCTGTTCCTACCTTGCTCCAACGGTCATAATCCTGATAGAAACTTGGTTATCACCGGATATCAGCGACGTCGAAACAAGTATGGACGGTATGCTTCTGTTCAGGGGAGACAGGGAGTTTAAGGAAGGAGGCGGAGTAGAGATGCTTATAAATGACAACCTTAAAAGTGAACGAGCAATTGAAACTCTACTTTCAGGGCTCCCAGACTCCATCTGGTGTCAGTTTAAGGTTGTACACACCAAGTACCTGGTAGGAGGCTGTAGCGGCCAGAATCCAATAATTTTGGCCTGAACGCGGGAAATAACTAGGCGGTGCTAACTGACGTGAATCCGACTAGTTCCTGCTTTTTACCGTGAGTGACGCACAGTCAAAGGTTGGATCAAAATATCAAAACACGGTTTGTAGTAATTCAATAGAAGATTCGTAACAAAATCTGTGGTACTATCAAAGCAACAACAAGTTGTGTCAAAATTACAAAAATACCTCAACAGTGCCGTTGGGTAACTAACTATACAGTCCAAAACTTTCTCGGGTACAAATACGTACTACACGGTAAAAACTGGTGAAACAAATACAACTGTTAGGTACCTGTTGGTCAGTAGGAATAGTCCCGACAAAAGGGATCAAAACTGCCTACAGGAATCAAATCAACAAACAAACGTTCCCAGTAGACAGTAAAAAGACAAACAGTCAAATCACTGCACTACCGTAAGTTGAACCAAAACAGAATGTCGGGCACAGTAAAACAACATCACCTTGTCAACAATCCAGCGTCACATAATAGGAAAGTGAAACATTCATAATAAGTCCCAAACATGCAAAGGCAAATACCGAGTGTAAAGTCAAATAAGACAGTTAAACAAGCAAATAACATCACACTGGCTAGGGTCAGAGGTACACCATCCGTAACGAGGGTAAAAATGTTAAAATAAATGTCAATACAATCAAATAAGGGCGACCGGGAGGGATTTTTAGATCAATTTACCGTTACAGAGGCGTCTACAGAACTCCTACTAGCAGCGTGGAAGGTAGCCGACAACTTCTGCAAGCAATGTCCCGTGCGACGTTTATCGGATATGATCAGGTCACTATAGCCGGCGACTTTAATGCTCCGACTCTCAATCTTGGGCAGGATGAGGAAACCTCAGGCTGAAGGTCTGACCGCAACCCATTCAACACCATCAAAAAGGCTGGGCTGCACGAAATGTCGGTGATGACCTTCGCTGGGGGTCGCGCGGAAAGCCGTCCAAACTGGACTACCTTTTTACCAGTGACCCAGTGCTCGTAGAAAATGTACAGGTTCAAACCCCCTTGCCGGCAGCGATCACGCGTAGCAGTGTTCGATCTGCTGCCCAACGAACTACTGTCGTGGGAGGGATCGCGCCCTTGTCTTTGCTACATGGGAGCGAACTACGTGGCGATGAACCAATATCTGTCGGCAGCACCATGGCCTCAGGGGTTGAGTAACCTGTCGATTGACCAACATTCGGAACTAGTCAGAGATATCGTCAAGAGGGCCCTCTCTGAAAACCTCCAGCAATCACAGCAATACCGCGGAAGCGAACCTCATGGCTGAAGCGGGGTGCTGAACGCCTTTTGAAAGCCGAGAGGAAAGCATGGCACAAGTGGAGGACCTCCAGAAAACAGTCTGACCACACCCTGTACATTGCCCTAAGAGATTGATGTAACAGGGTGAGGGAAGATAGGAGGTCACTCCAGACAAACCTTGCCCAAAAGCTCGAGGCAAATCCCAAAGACCTATGTCGTTTTATGGCAGGCAGAAAATCCACCAGCCAGGGGGCTTGCGTCCTGAAAGGCCTAGACGGAGAGAATCTCTCCGGACTAGAGACCACCGAAGCCTTTAGAGCCACCCTCGATATGCAACTCAGTACGTCCCTATCCAACTAAAATTATCAGCTGTCTGACCGAAATTCAGCATCACCAAATGCAGTAGAGTTACCTGGGATAAAGGTAACTCCTTCTATGGTCCTCGAAAAACCATCAAAGCTCCACGCAATGAAATCACCAGGGTGTGATGACATCCGACCGGCTGTGCTGAAACAATGCGCAGGTGCCCTGTCCGTTCCGCTGTGTAACTTGTTTCAACACTCCTTAGACAATCACATGCTTCCACAAGAGTGGAAAAGTGCTACTCTGTCCCCCATCCTCAAAGGTGAAGACAGGCAGAACCCAAAATGCTACCGACCCATAGCCCTTCGACCAGTGGTGTCAAAAGTAGTGGAGAGCCTGGTAAACGACCGTGTTAGGGAGTACTCAGAAAAGGGGGGAGCACTTAATGACGCTCGACATGGTTTCATAGAGGGTAGGTCCTGTGCCTCAAGCATTCTGGCGGCAGGTGATAAGTGGACGGCATGCTGGGACCTCCAAATTCCTATACATGTTATTTTCCTGGATTTTACTAAGGCCTTTGACGCAGTTCCACACATCGTTCTTATCCACAAAATAGCAGGGTTGGGTATCAAGGGACAAGTGCTTTCATAGTTGCAGGACTATCTAGACGGTAGACAGTTCTGAGCAGAAGCCAACAGAGTTTGCTCGACTTGGAGGACATCATCATCTGGTGTATCACAAGGGGCGATTCTGGGTCCACTGCTACTCCTTCTTTTCGCGAACGACCTCCCACTGAATCCCAGCTCCCCAATTCCATTCTACGCTGGTGATGTTAGGCTATGGAGAGCTGTGAAGTCAGAAACAGAATCAAGTGGACTGCAAAATGATTTCAGATTACTTGCAGAGTGGGTGGATATTAATGGACTTGCATTTAACCTAGATAAATGCCCAGCCATGTTTCTCCGCACCCCAGACTCTCAGAAGGTACCCTATTGTCTCCGTGGAATACAACTCTCCCACACCACCACAGAGAAAGACCTGGGACTAATACTAACTGACAAACTAGACACGAGCCCCAATTATCCAGGAGATGCCTCCAGAGCCTACGCAGTACTGCACTTCATGCGCAGACGGTTGGGTGCTCTGACCCCGTAACTCTTTTTGAACCCGCATAAGACCTATTAAGACCTCATCTAGAGGTACACAACGTCACTGCACCACCATATCTGAAAAGAGACGTGAACCTCCTGGAGAAAGTCCAAAGGCGAGCTACAAAGGGTATCGTGGGAATGAGGCGAAAACCATACCAGGACAGGCTGAAAGATCTGGGTCTGTACTCCCCAAGCTACCATAGATTATGTGGTGACTTGATAATGGCTTACAAAATACTAAGTAACCCAAGCCATCCGAACAGTGGAATCCTACTGAACGGCCACTATGGCGGTCCTCATGGTAACCCCAGGAGAATCGCTCACCAAAGAGCGAAAACCCATGTGTGATCACACCTCTTCTGTCTGCGAGTTTGCGGCCACTGGAATGCATTGCCTGCAGAGATTGCTACTGCTCCATCTGTTTACAGCTTCAAGAAGAGGTTGGACAGTTACGCAGCGACGCAGGGTTTGCGCTCATCCAACCGGGATATGGATTAGGCTAACGTGACTTACTAACTCGGTACGACCAGCCGTTACTGAACACTTTGTAAAACCACTATCACTGAGAACTTGACTCAACCTTATGCCCTCCTGCAGACGTCCCCTCCAGTTACCGTTTCCTACTGAAAGAATTACTATATTCCCATTCTTCCTATCATGTTATTTATTATTCTTCCTTCTGACTTTACTCTCTCAAGCTTTAACAAAAGCTCTCCCTATCACCTATTCCCCATGAACCTACCCATTTTTTATTCTGCTGTGCTGTTTCCTTTTTCCTTTTCTTCTATTTTGTCTCTTTCTGCACTTTCTCTCTCTTGATTTCTCTGAACATATTTTTCATCTCCTTTTTACAACCAGCCCGACTAATTGTCTGCTGGCACGACATTTGAGGAACCCATCTGCACCGCAGTCCTCAGAAGAAAAAGCAAATAAACAAACAACACTCCCTACAAATCTAAACAACACCCAACCGCCAGTTGTGCTAACCAGAGCTACAGCAGCCGAGTGGGTGGACCTACTGCATTGAAATCCACCAAAGACCTGGAACCGTTCCGTAAGACCTAGGAGCGAGCGCGAAGGAATCAGTTGGTTTACACTAGCTAGTTAAAAGATATTGGATATTGGACAGTTGTTGCTTAGTTGCAGTAAAGGGCGGAACTTTGTGTATTCGACAAAGATGGAACCGGTTTCACAACAACGACTTGACGAACTAAAAGCAAAATTAGCTTTGCTTGGTATGTAGGCATAGTGTTTCTCAATTTACAGAGGGTGACCGGAAAGCATACTTTGAGAGTGCGTTACATGTGCTTGCAGAAAACAAGAAAGGAGTATGTGATCTACGACTTGAAAATACGAAATTGAGGAACATTTTGCGAGAAAGACTTTCAGTAAATTTCTTTCAAAGATTTTGTTGTACTCCAGGCTGATCAACATATTATAAACCACGTACTTCATAATCGACAAGCTGATAAAGTTTACATGGCCAACAAAACTGGTGCAGTGAGTGACTAATATTTCTAGTCATCATTTTAAGGTTGCGATTGAGCTTATGGACTATCGTATTTGTGACACAATGAAAAAGCTGAATGCCTTGAAACATACTACTGTTCAGAAAGAAAAAAGGATAGAAGAGATAAAATCGCAGTATAGAGAGATTGCACAACTAATTGAGGATGGGAATGCTACATACGCAGGAACAAACAAAGAAGGGAAAATGCTGCGTGATCTAGAAAATCGCCTTGATAAAGCTCAACTAAAGTATCATGAGGCAGAACACATACGAAAAACTTATGAACAGATAAAAGAACGGCTTCAAGACGTAAGTTATAAACATTCTAACGATTATTTTATTAGGAACATCTTACATATGAACATAGTCTCGATCATTTAGAAAAACAGATAAAGGCAACTCAAGAAGAAGTTTCACAGCTTCAAAAAATGTATAATGATGCTATATTAGCCCGTGATGCAGCTCAACGAGAACTGAAGTTTCAAGAAGAACATATTACCTCTGAACGTCGACGCCGTGAGATTGAACTTGCTAACATGAAGAGAATTGTCGAGGGCAAGAAGATTATTGTCGATAAAACCGAACAACAGGTAATCTGTATTGTAATAATACGTACGCAAATACTCTAGTTATGTGAGTAATTGTGATACTATTATGAATCCATAATGAAATAAGTTTAAAATCGGGCTCTTATTTTGCATATACTATCAAATGGAAGGGTGAATCACAGCTATCTCCCGCACAGAAATATGGTATCAACATAAAAGTAGGATTTCCATTTTTTCACTCCAGCACCCATTAAGAAAGCCTTCCTTTATTTCACTAAAAAATGTCGGGAGAAGCCAAGAGGATGCACGAAAAGTTTATTTTGAAAATTTTGGATTAATTTTAGGTTGAACTCATCGCTAGAAGGTAAAAAAACCCTTGGGGCGTATTCACTTGTCGTAGCCGCAATATTGTATCCATATCTCTTCATTTCATGCAGTTAAACTATATACAGGAGAGACATTCACTGACTTGAGAAAGTAGAGAATTAAAAGATATTTTTCAGCCTTATATAATTTTGCTGATTGAGACAGCTGGTTTCAGGGACTGCTTTCAATCATCCAGACAATAAAAATTGAAACAAGAAGGTTTCAACACTTCATCCTACAAGGGATTGGAATTCAAGAATACTAAGACAAAACTATGCTTTGTTACAGCATTCATATTTTTACTTGTGTCACTCAATCTGGAAATTTAGTAAGAACACTATTTGGCTGGAAGTAATAAGAGAGTGTGTAGAAGAATGGGCATGACTGGCCGTAAAATAAAAAAATCTTTTTGCTCATCAAGCTGAAATGTCAGATTTTAGTTCTTCACTGGGGTATTTGTGTATGCAGCTTGGGTTTACCAGTAACAAACAGTGTTAATGTTAACCGATTTTAATCTCTTTTTCGCCTTCATCGTCTTCGTTTTCTACACCTCATTTAATACCTAGTTTGACAAGCATCATTATAGTCAAGTACACATAAGTAGATCTTTGCAGTTACTGAAACATATACCGAACATTGTTGTATAAATTTATTGTTCGGTTAGAGTGGGGTTAGCGAAATATAGCATTTTTTAATTAAATTATTTAAAGTAGAAGCTCGTTATCATAGTGAAACCTCTTTTTTCGGCTGTCACAATTTTTAAGAAATTTTGGAATTTTGTGTTTTATCAACTGAAAATGTCGGCTATCAAAATACTACTGCATTGAATGACCATAACTTGTATACTTGACTAATTTTGCGGAACCTTTTAATAATGTAACACAGTTCATTTATGATAATCATTGTCCTAAGAGATTGCACAGGAGATTTGTAGTAAAGCATACTATTGGGAAGGTTGAAGTAAATGGCGAGAGATGTTCGTACTGTTATTCAGTAAAGCGGTGGTGTTGGCTTCCTTTCTCTCCTTAAGAGCCTGCTTACTTAAGAAAAGCTTATGAATGAAAAATATGGTCCGGTAGCTTCATTTTCTTTAGTAGTTGAAAGTTTTTAATCTCATAATGTGTCAGATATTCGACAGAATTTTTATTGATTTCTTTTTGAATATTAAAATTACTACAAGGACCTCCCTTCATGAAACGTCTATCGGATTTCAAATCTTTTACATGATTTATCGTACTAGAGATAATTTACTTTGCAGCAGCCAAGTAGCATATTTTCATTTCAACATCCAACACTAATAGTGCAAACGTAGGAAACTGATAGTTTTTGATCTCTTGCGTGTAGTTCTTGGGGCTTGATTCTTGCTGTTCGGTTTGCTCCTGCAGTGGATAAGGAAATCCCTTTTTGCTTTTTAGCTCCTATGAGCTGGATGCTTTTGTGAATAGGTAATTTCAATGTGTAGGTCAATTACGGGTCTTCAGGTTGCTGGGGAGATTAGGGGTTGTTTGTGACCCCTGTTGGTATAGGTGCAAGATAAAAAGAAAAAAATGTTACGGGAATTACTCGAAATTACTAGTTAAGAACACAGGCAATATCGAGGTATCCCTACAGGAGCCCATATTGCCAACAGAGACTGATCAATTCGGTCCAATCAACGACGGTGTAATACAAGCAATTACACTCATAAGTGTGATAGCTACAGTAATGTTGACTAAAGTTGAGAGTGAACCAGAAGCACATGAAGATTCTAAGCCGGTAGCCTTTTGATATTTAACTTGATTCTTTCCTGAATGAGATACAAAAACTGACCACCAACCAGCGTATAGTTTGACCATAAACAGAAAGGATTTCTTGTTCATCATAAGCCAGATAATTCATGCCATGTGGATCTAAATCAAACTGAATAAATCAACATCCTTTAGATTATGATGATTTCAGTCTGTTGACCATTATTACTTCAGATGGGAGAAATTTAATGGTGTATGTCAATATTGTATCGTTTGGTAACTAAACTTCATCAGCTTATAAAGTTTTTTTGGAGCCTTATAATTTCAAACAACTCTAAGAAGATATTTCAATACTATGTATAGTAATGGTGGGCAGTGGAATCCAGGATGCGTGTTTCGTCCTATTTGGGACTCGTCAGCTGGATGTACCTGTCTCCCAGTGAGTGATGTTGTCCCCCTCGGGACTTGGACTCGGGAGCGACCGCTTCAAGCGCGAGAGCGTTATCCACTACACCACCGAGCCACGATAACCACTTCTTGTGCGACGGGTATAGGTTTAGTGTTATTGCTTGTAATACACCGTTGTTGATTGAACTGAATTGATCTGTCTCTGTTGGCATATGGGCTCCCGTGAGGATTCCTCGATATTGCCTGTCTTTTAACTATGAATAGTAATGAGAGGCTGATAAATTCGGTCCAATCAACGACGGTGTAATACAAGCAATAACACTATTTCAATATTGTTTGAAATGACTTATCAATTACTTATTGAATAAATTATCTGTATGTAAATATAACACTAAATGTATTTGTTTGCAAAAATTTTTAGCCTAGTAGAGAATCCATTTCTTCTGAAGTTGTTCAAAGTGAAAGTGTTCGAGATCCTAGTGGAGGTACTGGAGAAAAAATTTCAGGTTTAGGAGGAATAGGAATAACAGAAGATCAACAATTGAAAATAGCCAGTTATGAAGAATCATTTAAAAGTATTAAAGAAGTTACTGGATTATCTGACCTTGATCAGATAGTTAAACGATTTCAAAGTCAAGGTGAAACATTGAAACATTTGAATGAACTAAAAAACAAGGCTGAAAAGCAGTGTCAAGAACTTCGTAAACAAAGAGATAAGTTACAACAGGAATTTGAGGAACTCAAGTATTCTGGTGAGACAGAACTAAAGAGGTAAGATGTGAAAGGAAAAATATTTTATGCCTTATATTTTTCAGGAGTCTTGGTTGTGTTGTGTTCTCTCAGTTGGGTTGTTTAACCATGAAGTTTTCATCGTCTTTCTAGGCGACATCATCAGCACTAACTTCAGTAGGAAGTGAGATGTCAATATCTCGCCGTGAATGATTTAGTAGCTTGCCATGACCAGCTGGTTTGTGACTGGTTGTTTCCTTTGATTGTTGTGTCATTGACTTTATAGATTTTCCTACCCACGAAACTTTATCAGAAGATGCCTATGTCTTGCATCATCAAGTACGAAGTCATCGACAGAAATCAATAAACACATCATCCTACCATATATAAAGAAGACATCAGAAGTCACGACAAGATTACTGAGACCACTTGGAATTAAAGGGGTTCATAAACCAACAAATTCCCTACAAACACTACTATACAGACCAAAGGATACAACAACCAAAGACAAACCGAATATCATTTACGAAGTCAACTGCAATAACTATAGTCAGCACTTCATTAGACAGAATGGTCATCGTCTTCGCCTTTGTCTACATGGACACCAATTGGCTATTAAACATCACACACGAAATTTCATCACTGGTGTCAGTGCATGTGAATAACAACTATGGACATGAATTGAATTTCGACAGTGTAGAAATCTTGTGGGAGGAGAGAGGAAAGACAAAGAATATCAGAGAATTTCTAGAAGCTTGGCATTCACGTCAGTCAATCAGTCAGCAATGAATAGATGTATGGATGTATAGACCCAATCTATCAAACGCTAACAGAAATGATAAACAAGAGAACGGTCAGAGGTCAAGTAGAAGCCCAACCAACAGGAATGTTTATGCAGTCTGTCCTGTCAATGACACAACAATCAAAGGAAACAAGCAATCACATACCAACCAGTTGGTCAGGGCAACTGACTAAATCACTGACGGAGAGATATTGACAGCTCACTTCATAATGAAGTTAGTGGTGATGATGTCGTCTAGGAGAAAGACGATGAGAGCTCCACGAGTAAACAGTCCAGTTTGGAGAACGCAATACAACCAAGACCATCCATCTGAGCTACAAATATTCTTCAATATTTTTCAAGAGTATTGAATTTACTGGATTTTAAACACTGGCCTCAAAGACAAACAGCGGTGGTGTGTGACATATGAACGTCAACATCAGCTCCAAGAATATTGAGACTTAGTTTACTATAGTCCTTACAACGGTGAAAGTCGATTATTATGGAGAATAATCCCCAAGTGTTGACTTTAAGCAATGAGTTTGTAAATAGTAACAGTGACAGAATTAAAGTTATTTTCTTTTCTTCTAAATTATTATTATTATTTGTCCCTTGGGTTTCTAGTGGAACATATAGCTTCACTAGCACATCTCCATTCCACTCTCTTCTCTGAAATCTTTTCAACTTGGCTCCACAACAGCCGACAAGCTCTCATTTCCTCCTCGCACGACCTCTTCCATGTCACCCTTCGACGCCTAACTCGTCGCTTCCCATCTGGGTTCCACTCAAGCGACTTGCCTGGTACGTGATGTCCACGGTCGGCCTTCTCAGTGTATGCCCAATCCATCTACACTTTCTTCTGCATATTTGTTGAACGATAGGTTCTTGATTGGTTCGCTGCCAGAGCTCCTTGTTGCTTATTCTTTCTGGCCATCTGATCTTCAGTAAAGAGCCAGCATAGGCAGTTGTTGATGATTGTCTGTAATTTGTTGGAAATCCCTTTTGTGATGCACCAAGTCTCTGAACCATACAGGAGCACTGACTTCACTGAATTGGTGTTGAAAATCTGGGTCTTTTTCACACTTTATGCTGAGTGCAGAAGATCTCCACTCTGATTTCAGGTTAATGAACGCCTATCTTGCTTTCCCGATCCTGGCTGGCTTTGACGTCCTCGTCTGTGCCACCTGTAGTTGAAATGGTGCTGCCTAGATAGGTGGAAGAGGCTACTTCCTTTAAGTTTCTCCTGTTGATGGTGGTTGGAGCTTTTTGTTGATGCTGTTGGTGGTGTTGTTTGGATATCATCATCACATCTGTCTTCTCAACGTTCACTTGAAGTCCCGTCTTCTCTGCCTCTTCTGTTAACTTGTTAGTTCTTGACTGTAGATCTCCGAGTTTGTGTGACATTAGACACAAGTCGTCAGCGAAATCCAAATCTTCTAGGATCTTTTCCCCGGTCCAGCGTATCCCCTTCTTCTCGCTCCTCACAGTTTGTTGCATGATCCAGTCCACCACGATTTTCTTCTAAATGAGATCATCCTAAATCTAAGTGATACTGTGACTGAATTCTCCATCTCTTTAATCAGTTTTTGTTATTAAGTTTATCGAACAGAACTAAAATTTAGTTTTTTAATTTTTCAGCAGTATATATTAACAAAGCACAGTGGATAAAGTCTACTAAAAACTTTCATATAGCTAAGCCTTGTTAATAATGTCAATATGATGGTGTAGAACACTGTCTTTTTGGAAAAGTTTCTGTCAGTAAGAATGTTAACTTCAGCCTTCATAGGTTCATAAGTTATGATGTTATTTATAATGGTTTGTAAAAATTTTATTTGATGCGTCTAACTGCATAGTAACTATAAACCGTTGAACTAGTCTAACTACTTTTGTGGTTTTATAGTGAAACAAGGTACTGTTGAGTAGAAGTAACCCTATAAGAAGATAAATTACGATTACACAGTTAGAGATCAGAAGGAATTTTGTAAGAGTCAGGGACATCTACAGATATATTGATGAAACAAATGGATATTTGTCACGATTGTCTCCAACCAACATTCGTCAAAAGTACACTATGATAGTTAGACTTCTAGCTTAGTAACCACATTGTAAACTGGTCGATCAAATTCAGTCAACACGCAGCGCTAGATAACACGGAATTGGTTACTCGTAAGTAACCAATGAATACATCTAATTCAGTCCTACAGGAGGCCAATCGTGGCCCGAATAACTCAGTCGCAGCAGTCTTGAGATAAACTAATTTTTTGCTAACCATCTTCATAACTTAAATAAAAGGTAAGCCGATTTCTGAAGAGTTCTGTATATTTAATTTGGAGGTTTGTAACGATTTATTATTACTATTTGTCTTTCGGGTTCCTGGTGGAACATAAGGCTTCACTAGCACGTCACCATTTCACTGTCTTCCCTGCAGCCTTTTCAAATTGACTCCGTGACTACCCACAAGCTTTCGTTTCTTCCTCACACGATCTCCTTCATGTCGTCACCATTCTGACGTCCAAATCGTCGTTTCCCATTGTGGTTAGACTCGAGGGTCTGAGGCGTGATGCTCGCAATCGGTCTTCTCAGTGCACGCCCAACCCAAACCGTCTCCACTTTCTTCTACATATTTGCTGGGTGATGGGTTCTTGCTTCGTTGGTTCGTTGCCAGCGAGATTGAGTTCCTCGTTTACTCTTTGTAGCCATCTGATCTGATCTTGAGTATCGAGTGAGCGTAGGCGGCAGCTGTTCATGTATGTCTGTAGTTTGTTGGAAATGCTTTTCGTAAGATGCCAAGTCTGTCAACCCTCACATAGCAGCACTGACTTGACTGACTGGCATTAGTGTTGAAAATGCGGATCTTGTTCATGCTTTGTGCTGAGTGCACTGTAGTGCAGTGCAGTGCAGTGCAATAGATCTCCACACTGATTATTTCAGATTAATGAAGGCGTGTGTTACTGTCTTTCCGATGCTGGCTGGCTTTGAGGTCCTCATTTGTGCCTGTGCCACCGGTGGTTGAAACGATGCTGCCTAGGTAGGTAGGTAGGTAGGTAGGTGAAAGAGACAAGTTCCCTTAGGTTTCTCCCGTTGATGGTTATTGGTAGTTGTTGTTGGTTTAATATCTCCATCACGTCTATCTTCCCTAAGTTCACCTGAAGTCTCGTCTTCTCTGCGTTTTCTGTCAACTTGTTAGTAACGATTTATTAACTTGAAGTTATTATTCTTCGCAAACTGATATCAGTTGGAGAGTCCCTGATAACTTGAGAGAACTGGACAGCTACTTCGTCGTAGTGCTGAACTCTTTAGAAGTACATAAACCATTACTCCGTCAGTTTTAAAATGGCTCTCCAACTGATTTTACTCCATTATGAATACCAATTTGGGTTCAGTAAACTCATATCTAATATTCTAAATGTCATTATTTCAGCAATATTATCAAACTTTACTTTTGTGATTAAAGTTTTTGATATACACATTAATTAAAGAAGAATAGAAAGGTATCTTTGTAAAAACTTCTTAAAACTGTGCAACTATAGTTGGTCGTATATGTCACATACTGTCACATAAATACTTTTTTGATTCCCTTATCAGTGACTACAACAGACGAAGAATTAAGCCTTCAATCCTCCAAAGAAATAACTTTTGAGATGAATAGGGATTTTTAATTTAGAAGTAGTGTTCATCATGGAGTGATAATAATTGGGGAACCATTGAAAATCTGGGAGCACTGAACACCTGTTTCGTCCTAGTATGGTACTCCTCGGCAGTAAACACCCACGATCTGGCTAGGGATCGAAGTCAGGTCCTTCAGGTTTCACGGCGAACGCGTTAACCATCCAGCCACTGAGTCGATTTTCAGTGGTTCACAATTTCCGACTTCTATCAATTCACAATATAGCGGGACTATCACTCAGGATCTTCAGTTAGCATCCACTTCACTTCCGACTGGTTGACCCCACAGGTCACGGCTTCTCATTAGAGCTTCCAGATATCCATCTGGAAGCAGGTTACTAATGAGCAGTATACAGTAATGTATTTTCGAGATGAATGGGGATTTTTAATTAAGAAGTAGTATTCATCATGGAGTAACATTAATTGAGGAACCATTGAAAATCTATGAGCACTGGACACCTGTTTCATCCTAGTATGGTACTCCTCAGCAGTACACACCCACGACCCGTCTGTGGATGGAACTCAGGACATTTAGGTGAACCACTGGAAACCGACTCAGTGGCTGAATGGTTAACGCGTTCCCCGTGAAACCTAAAGGTCTTGAGTCCGATCCCTAGCCGGGTCATGGGTGCGTACTACTGAGGAGTTCCATACTAGTTGGAAGAAACAGCTGTCCAGTGCTCCCAGATTTTCAATGGTTCCCCAACTGATGTCAGTCTATGATGAATACTACTTCTAAAAGAAATAATTGCATGAAGATGGTGAGTAGATTTTATTCATTGTCCTGTGTGAGTGTTTTTTTTAGTAGGATTCTATTGTAATCATTGTTTTAAATGGTTATCATGATTAAGCAAAGATAAAAACAAAGACTTGGCACACATTTAATTTAAATACAATTTATCTGAATACTTCAGTATATGATTATTTTCATACAATTCTCATTTTCAGTGTAAATCAAATGTTGGATCAGTATCATGAAGAAGCAAATGCAGAAGCTGAACGTCGAGCTAGATGTCATCAGAATGCAGAAGATGCTAATCATCTTCTTACTGAATGCAAGGCAGGAGTTGATCATATATATGATAAATTATCTTTTCTAAATGTGCCTACAATTAAAGGAATAGAAAATGTTAATGATGAAAATGATATTAACATCAGTGATATACCAGAACTTCTTAAAATGTGTAATAGTAAATTGGATGAACTTATGGATAGTTTAACTGATGTCAACATTGATGAACAACTGAATTTAATGGAACGAGAAGAGGTGAATTAATTATCTAATGTTGTTTCTTTCTTTCGGCTCTTCAATCATCACTCTATTCATATATGTCAGTTGATGTAGATGAATAGGTGCCTTAAATTGTATTACTGCAAGGTGGTCATTATTAACATGCTTCGAGATGGACATTCTGAAAATGTTATAAGAAACTATGACCCATAAGAGGGATCTCATCACACATTTATGAGTGAAACGAATACGAACTGAACACCTTGATGAATAATAGTGCCACATATATTTAAACTTGTAAGAAGTAGGAATCTGTTGATCATTGAATTCTGAATCAGTATTTGACTATCTGTAAAGTTAGCAGAGAAAGTCGAAGGACCTGAGTTCGACCCCTGGTAGACTCATAAATGAATACTGCTGAGTTCCATATTACGACAAACCAGGTGTTAAGTACTCTTAGATTTTCAATAATTCTCCAAGTAGTGGGTAGTCAGTGATGAATATCACTTTAAACATATGTAAAACAAGAGAGTTCATCATTTACATCATATCATTGTTTAGTGGTATTTTAGGATTTGTCCTGGTGCGAACTTGACAGACGCAAAGACCAATCACTAATTATTCGAACTTGTTATATACCCACGAATACGAGACCAAGGAAGAACACGATAGCGTAGTCGGATGGAATAGTATATTTGGATGGTTATGCCAAAATACCGATGCGTTCCAACTAACTGGCTAGAGAGTCGAATACGAGCAATGCAACGTAACACGCAGCGTGCCAAATGGCGAGGATGCTTGACCGGATGCCTTCAGCTTAGCGAGTCCAGTTAAACTATCAAGGTCAGCATCAATGTCGAAGTCGTCAAACCCTAGGCTATTGATTTTGGGGAAGTGTATGACGCTACAGATCACTCCCCCCTAGTGGGTTCGTGAGGACCCTAAGACGATACCAGCCGGAAGTAAAAACCCAGTGGTTTCTCCACTGGTAAAACTCTCCGATGGGCTCACTGCGTGAGGTGGCCCCTGGTTGTCTGAACCTTATTCTAGGGTGTCGTGGCGATTAAATAAATAAAATACAATAAATGAAATTGTACGTCGGTCGCGGTCATCTGTTCCTTTCGACGTTCCGTCCAGTGCTCGTTGCACCTGGAATATAAATAAAAGTCTTTAATACCACGAAAACGTTGCGTAAAAATGGGAATTATTTATATATAAACGTGTCGAAAAATAAAAATTTACGCTTATCTTCGCCGTTTTTTTTAGTTTTTATTACATGGTAAATAAAAATTGATATAAAAAGGCAAAGTGTACGAGGGTTTGTGCTGCCGGTAAATAAGAAAAATAGTGCCTCGAAAAAAAAAAAAAATGGTTGGCACACACACAGCTAAGTTGAATATGACTTCAGGTACTCTGGGAACCTGACGGTTCGACCTGATCGTGTTTTTTGTTGCGCCGCTGGTTGTTGCAGCTGTGCATTACCAGGCACATCGTCGAGAATTTCGATAATTGAGTCATCCGTCGGTCGGATGTAGCGAGCTGAAACGTCACTTACAATGGGGTTGCCTTCGAAATAAGCTGGTTTCAAACGGTCGATACTGACAGTATCTTCACGTCCGTCTCGCTCAATTACATAGAATTTCTCATGTCGCTTAATCACTTTGAACGGCCCGTCGTAGGGTGGTTCAAGTGGTCGACGAACAGCGTCGTGGCGAACAAACACGTGTGATGTCTTCTGTAAACTGGGGTGGACGAAAACATCAGTCGTTTGCGGTCTAATCGGAGAAGGCCTAACTGAACGCATTGCGTTTGTAAGCCTAGTCACGTAAGATGCCCTGTCGGAAACATGTTTGAAAGTTGAAGGGGAAACAAACTCACCTGGTAGGCGAAGAGTGGTCCCATAGACGAGTTCTGCAGGAGTGCATCCAGCATCAACTTTCAACGCGTTACGAATACCTAGTAGGACTAGAGGCAGAGCCTCGGTCCACTGAGGTATGTTTGTAGCTGAAAGGGAAGCTTTCAGCTGTCGATGGAAACGCTCTACCATGCCATTTGCTTGTGGATGGTAGGCTGTCGTTCGGAACCGAGTGCAACCTAAAAGTGCCGTTAGAGCGTGAAATAGTCCGCACTCAAATTGGCGCCCACGGTCGGTTGTGACGTAGGATGGACATCCGAAGTTCGCGATCCATCTTTCGACGAAAACACGAGCAACTGTTTCGGCAGTAATATCTTTAATGGGTACTGCTTCCGGCCATCGTGTGAAACGATCAACACAGGTGAAAAGGTAGGTACATCCATTAGATTCTGGTAGGGGTCCTACAATATCTATATGGACGTGGTCGAAACGCATGTCTGGGGCTAGAAATGAGCCTAAAGGGCTTTTCGTGTGTCGCGTGACTTTACACTTTTGACAAGCTAAGCACGACTGGGCCCACTCCTTAACGTCTTTGTTCATCCCAGGCCAGCAGAAACGTTGTGCGATAAGCCTAATGGTGGCTCGTACACCTGGATGAGAGAGTTTGTGCAACGTATTGAAGACGTTGCGTCGACAACTCTTCGGAACTATTGGGCGTGGTTGACTAGCAGAGACATCGCACAAAATTGCATCCTTGTCTGATCCAACAGGACAAAGTCGCAGTTTGAGAGTTGTGGACGACAACTCATGATGCAGCTCAAGGTCTTCCTTTTGACGCCGAGCTAGTTCAACGAGATCAATACCCTCGATATAGTTTATCGAAGCTATTCGAGATAGTGCGTCGGCTGCGGAGTTGTTTGCTCCAGAAATGTGGCGGATGTCTGACGTGAACTGGGAAATGTAATCCAGCTGTCGCGACTCACGAGGGGAGTATTTGTCAGACGCCGAGCTGAGGGAAAACGTTAACGGTTTGTGGTCTGTGAAAATAATGAAATCACGACCTTCCACAGAATGTCGAAAATGGCGTACAGAACAGTACATGGCTAGGAGTTCCCTACCAAATGTACTGTATCTTGTTTCCGCGTCTTGCAGCCGCCTCGAGAAAAAGGCTAACGGTTGCCACTGGTTGTCAGTCAACTGTTGCAAAACTGCTCCAATTGCTGAATCAGATGCATCAACAGCAATACTCAGAGGAGCATTGGGGTCATGATGCATAAGCATGGTTGCGTTCGAAATGGCTTCCTTGACTTTGGAGAAAGCAAGTCTAGCCGCGTTGTCCAGAGACACGAACTTCGCAGTTCCTCGAAGTAGATCTGTGAGTGGTCTCATGACAGAGGCACAGTTAGGGATAAACCTTCGGTAATAACTTACCAGGCCATTGAAAGTGCGGAGATGTTTCACAGTGGTCGGCTCTGGATAGTTTGTGATAGCCGCCACTTTATCTCTCAATGGGCGTATACCTTTGTTGTCAATGGTATGCCCAAGGAAGCTGAGTGATTCAACTCCTATTTCACACTTCTGTAAGTTAACTGTGATGCCATGTTTTTTGAGTCTTTCGAATGCGAGGTCCAAATGTTTAAGGTGTGTTTCCTTATCTGGACTCGCAATTAGACAGTCATCGATGTAGACATGAACAAAATTCAGACCACGGAAGACGTCGTCCATAAAGCGTTGGAATGTTTGTGCTGCATTCCGAAGACCAAAAGGCATGCGCAGGAATTCAAACAGGCCAAAAGGAGTAATAATGGCTGTTTTCGCGATATCTTCTGCTGCCATAGGTATCTGGTTGTACGCTTTGACCAAGTCGATTTTCGAGAAAATGTTCATGCCGCATAAGGTTGCGGTCAAGTCGTAAACGTGGGTATAGGGTAGCAGTCCGGAGTTGTTTTGGCGTTAAGCCTTCGGTAATCACCGGTCGGACGCCAGTCGTTGCTATCCTTTTTGGGCACCATGTGCAATGGCGATGCCCAAGGACTGTTTGACGGTCTGATAATGCCCAGTTCGAGCATATGGTCGAATTCATTTTTCGCCGTTTGCAGCTTATCGGGGGCTAAACGGCGAGCTTTGGATGCCACAGGTGGACCTGTGGTTGTGACGTGATGCATAACATTGCTGGTTATGCACGGAAGAGTGTGTTTCGGTTGTTGTAACTCTGGATATTTCTCCAGAACTGCCTGGTAGGACGCGTCGCCTGATTGTTTAGTCCTAACGATGGCTAAACTCGGACCTACATAGGTGGTGCCGCCAATAGATAACTTTGTGTTGTTATCTATCAGTCGTCGACGGCGAGCATCTACGAGTAGATCGTAATGGTTCAGCAAATCTATGCCAATGATGGGCATAGAGACGTCTGCCAGGAGGAAATCCAGTGAATAGGTTTGCGTAAACCTAAGTTGAGGTAGGCATACCGTCTCCCGAATGTCGCGATTGCCTTGCCGTTGGCTGCTTGAAGATTGAAGGATGGGTCGAGATGACGCTCCTTTGTCGTTGCTGGAAGAACGCTAACTTCTGCGCCGGTGTCGACGAGGTAGCGGACTTTCGTTTTAATGTCGGTGACGTAGAGCAAACGGCTTTTTCCGCCGGCTACGGTTGCCGTGAGCACGTGCCGGCGTGACCGTTTCCCGAGTTTGTGTCCTTCTTAAAACGGCATGGTTTACGACATTTTCTGGCTTCATCCCCGTAAGTGTTATGAAACCAGCACCATTCAGGGTTTTCCACCCTGTTGGGTTTCGTTTTAGGGCTACCACGCGACTTGCTGCGATGCGCCAAGGTGCGTTTCTGTGAAGTGCTACGTGATCTAGGACTTCGAGATCGTAGCAACCGTTTCACAGAGTTGCACAACTTGGTCACCTCCGAATCCTGGCGCTCTGTTTGTCGCAGATAGAATATACGTTGGAGACGGGTCTGCTGGATATCTCCAGTATTTTATCTGCTGAGCTGCCAGGTCGTCGAGTGGGACTGACTGGAGTGTCACCAACACGGTTTGCACCGGTTGTGGTAGTTTCGAGAGAAATAGTTCTCGGAAGAAACCATCGTCAAATGTTCGTGCACCAATTACTTCTCGCTAACAGTCGAGGTATATTTCGCTGAATGTTTTGTCTTGTTACCATGCTTGACCAAGATCAGCTCATTTCACCTAGTTAAGTTTTTCGCTATGAATTATGAACGATTATTGTCCACCTCTAACATTATCTTATACAACTATAGATATTGATCATTGAAATTCTGTGCCCCCCCCCCCCACACACAGAACACAATATTGAGAAAGGACGATTTTATGCTTCCGACAAAAAAAACAATCATTAACTGACAACATGAATGTTTGTCTAGTCATTAGATTGGAGGAGTAACAACTGCAAAGTTTAATACAGAAAAATTGTTGTCTTGAACACCATTTTTGAGTAAGGTTGAGAATCAATATCTCATACTAAAAAATTAGAAATACACAGAGTAACCATGATCACGGTGATGTAGTAGATAATAGAAGAATCCGTTGTGTGGGGGGGGGTGGCTAGTGATGGTAACTGGCTGTTCAAACCTTAGTAGGTGGATCACAGTTGGAAACCATAACTCACATGTTGGAAGGCGAATGCTTAGACAGATGAGCCACAGATCGACCGACATCTTACACAGAAAAGCATAAACCGATCAGGTAACTTTCTGTCCATTCTAACACAATCCTTCTTCTCTTCTCTTCTCTGCAACTTCTGTTTACTTACTGAAGTTTTTCGATTAATTTGGCCTAAGCACTTCAACATTTCATTAAATCTAGTGTAGAATGACCTAATGTAAACTGTGAGCATCAGTTAAAATGGATTGATTCTCTGTGGATATATATCTGAAGAAATATGTTTTCTTTGTCTACTTTGTACAGTCTATCATTTGTGATTCTGTTTGTTTACTTGCCAACTACTCATAGGTAGATTGAATTGTACCTACCAATTGGTGGGTGGTGGTATGTTTTGATTTGAACAGAGTTAATGCATCATCATTACTCACATCTCTCCATCATATTGTTGGCATAATATTTTCTGTTCGTAAGAACATGTAACTTCCACCCTGTACTGTCCACAGACAAGGTCGCTGAATCTCACTTACATCGCATAAATATCGATCAGCTTTAATTTTTAAACGGTTTCCAATAGTAGTATATCATATTGGATGCCTAGAATGTAGATGATAGTTGGCGTATTTGTAAATTCAACAACTCATCCCTCCCATAGGATAATCTGCATATCATGAATGTTACCAGAAAGTATCTCATTCACTTGTTAAATTTAACCATTTCGACTCAAATGGAGATTTTTATTCGATATGTTATCAATTTTTCCATGATATTATCAACAGATTTTTCAATCTCTTTGTATCATCCTGTTTCCATGTGTTTTTTACTAAATTTTCGAAGAAACCACCACCTTATTTATCTATAACACAACTAGAGGTAATTGTGATCATAGTTGGATTTGATGGTGATAACTATGATATTGTCAGTCAGTAGTTTACTAATTGGAAATTGTTTGTTTGGCTTGTTTGGTTTTTCCATCTTTTATAATAAAGTGATTTCATTCAATATTCATCATTCAGAGTGAATGTTTATTTACACTTTGAATGAAGTAGGTTGAAGAGAGACAGAGAGAAAGAGAGAGAGAGTCAATGAAAAATGAAATGTGTTCACCTTCTTTCGTCTATTCCTCCTCCTTATTATTATTATCATCATCATTCGTATGATAAGTTCTTAAGAGATTTATTTGTAATTTATTTCTCTTCTGCAAGTTCTTTTCAAAACTGGAAACTGGAATCCCAGAGAATAATATGCGAATACACCTTCCTCCTGTTATGAAGTGTGAAAGTGTTGCTGATGGTAAGTGTTGAAATGCATCTCATGTTGTATCATTTCACCAATCAATCCATCTAGTGTAGCTCTTTTTTCAATCAGTTTATCCCTAATATTCATATATATGTGTGTGTGTGTCTATATTGTATTGGGTGATGATTGATGGTGAGATGAAAATTTAGACGGTGACCGAATTCGAAGCATCCTTCAAATTTTCATGTCACCTTCAATCACCAAATATGAAAATACTAGTCTGACAAGCTACGCCTACCTCAAATAGTCAAATGATAACATATATATGTGTGTGTATATATGTTGGAGGTCACTGGTCCGAATCCTGTTATGGCGTAGATTTGCATTCTACCTTCAGACGCCACCCAATATATCACTTTTCATTCTTTCACAATTTAAAGCCTATTCACTTGAGTAGATTATGTGAATTGAAAACCTTAGATCATCAACTTGAAAATCGTATTCAATGAAATTTGTGAAATGAACACTGAGAGAGCGAAATTTCCAATTGTGGGAACAACGGTAGGTGAAGAAATGTAGGTTATCTGAATACTCATTGTAAGAAAGTTGTTTGGAGGTGATGCCTTCAAAGAATCTTTTAGTATGCCTCTATGGTAGGTTATGGAAGATTAGATTTTTGTAAGAACGTTTACCTAGGTGATGCTGAATTTCCTTGAATCTGACTGACCATCAGAAAGAATTTCTTGAAGAAATGCATTGTAGTAATGTCTTTGAAAAGTTATTTGGTGATTATTTTGTGTGTAGGGGAATTTCATTTTGTATATCTTGTGTACATCACAATCTTCGTTGCATAATGCGCTTTCGTTCCTTATTTCCCTTTTATTATTCACATGATCATTTGAATTATCTTCCCTCCTAACTGTGATTCATGTGGATTTTGATGATGTGAATCAGAATAATTTGATCCCAAGTTATACCTGATCTCGTTTTTTTACTTAATTAATCTCATGAAATATAAAATTATTATGCCTAACCTGACTAGTCAATCATACATAGGATGGATAATGCAGTATACAATACTATATATTAGACAATACTTGTAACAGCGAAAACCCAATAATCTTGACCTGAACGCAGGAAATAACTAGGCGGTGCCAACTAACACAAATCTGACTAGTTCCTGCGTTCTACTGTATAGCTGCCGAACTTACACGAGTGACGCACAGTCAAAGGTTTCATCAAAATATCAATAACACGGTTTGTAGTAAATCAGTGGTAGATTCGTGACAAAATCTGTGGTACAGTCAAAGCAACAATAAGTTGGATCAAAATTACAAAAATACCTGAACAGTGCCGTTGGGTAACAAACTATACAGTCCAAAGGTTCTCGAGCGTAAATAGGTACTATACGGTAAGAACTGGTTGAACAAATGCAATTGTTAAGTACCTGATAGTCAATAAGAATATTCTCGACAAAAGGGATCAAAACTCTCTCTCTCTCTCTGTCTACCAGAATCACATCAACAAATAAACATTTCCAGTAGATAGTCAAAAGACAAACAGTCAAATCACAGCACAACCATAAGTTGAAACAAAACAAAATGTGAGATGCAGTAAAACAACGTCAAGTTGTCAACAGTCGAGCGTCACATAATAGGAAAGTGAAACATTCATGATAAGCGTGAATCATACAAAGGCGAATAATGAGTGTAAAATCAAAGAAGACAGTCAAATAACGAAATAACATGATACCGGTTAGTGTTAAAGGTACACCATCCATAAGGAGGGTAAAAATATTCAAATAAATGTGAATACCATCAAACAGGGTGGGTGTTCAGGATCATTTATTTTCACATCATTTATTCTGTTACCATTATCAATGCTAAATTATGCTTACCAGATTAGTATGTTTCTATGTTGTTGTTGTTGTTGTTGTACTTTGAATATAGACAATGATGGAGGTGCTGATGATAATGATATACTAACAAGAACAGCTTTGAAGAAACAAGCTCAACAAATTGTTGAGATGAGAAATAAGAAAAGACAAAATAAAAAGAAGAAAAGGAAGGCACGATAATGAAGACAACCAAAAACACAATATGATCTCAATAATTATTATCTCCTTCCTTTATATATGTACAAATCACTTACACCAGATAGTCTGCACACACACACACACACACATTCACCTCCTATAGACATTCAGAGATGATATTTAACCACTTGCTTCCTGTGAATGTGTATACAATGATATTGACTTGAAAACACGACTGGATTGAATGTAAGAGAAAACAGAAAGAAAAATTTACTCTTTATCATCATTAAAGTGTAGATTTGATTATTACTTGGAGACTGTCACATGGTCACCAATTACCAATTAGTAAGTAAAACCAATAAACACACACACACACACACCGTTAGTTATATAAACGAATCATTCCTCTTTATGAATACTCACATGAAATAGATTTCCTAGTTGACTTCAACTTGATTGACTTGAAAAACACAATCAATCTAGTTTATCGGTGAATATGAGTCAATGTTAAGCATCATCATTACCTAACAAGTAATAATAATAATAATAATAATAATAATAATAATAATAATAATAATAATAATAATAGTGATATATCAAGCAGACTAGTCAGAATTATGATAATAGTGTAGGAGTACAGATTGTGCATGTTTACTATTCACATTGAATAAATTTATAATAGAAACTGAGAATATGAAACGTTGATAAAAGCAAAATACTTTTCAACTCTCTTACAATTAATTACGCTTTTATGTTTTGTTCCACTGTGTCTTTCTATGATGTTAACAGAGTCAGTATACACTGCGTAAGAAGAAAAAACTTTAATCAAAACTGTAATGATGACTGATATAGTAATAATGTGTTTCCAAATGGTAAGGTTACGCATCATCATAGAACAGAGTATAGAATGCCAGTCAACTCAACTCTACCTCAACTTTATCGACTTTGAAAAGGCCATGGACAGCGCGTCGATCAAAAAGTAATTTAGTAGGCAGTTACTTCAACACTACTGTTTCAGTGACACAAATCTTTATCAACCTGATTCAACAGCTATATGAAGATGCCAGATACATGCCAAGTGATCTATAATGGAAAGCAGCTCAGTGACACCTTTCAAGTGAAGTGAAGACAGGAGTGAGACAAGGCTGCCGCCTACTACCACCCATCATCTCCTGATTGTGGTCGAGTGGACTTGACTAGACTGGACTGGATGAAGCAGCGAACCGTGAGGAGCTGTGATAAGAGGGGCATACGCTGTTTTGGATTTCACCAACGGTGGTGATTTATGTCCAATGTGTTGTAGCACAGACTCGACGACCTACAGGCGGAAACTAACAAGTTGACAGAAGAGGTATTGCAGCGAAAACGGGACTTCCTTCAATTGGATGTAGAGAAGACGGAGGTGATGAAGATACCCAATTAGTAAACAGTATCAACAACAAACACGAATCACTGTTAACCGCAGTGTGGATATCTACTGCACTCAGCACAAAGCATGAACAACATCCGGATTTCCAACACCAATTCAGTCAAGTCGATGCTGCTATATTCTTCAGAAACTTGGGGTGTCACGAAAAGCATTTCCAACGAACTGAAGACATGCATCATCAACAGCTACCTACGTTGTTAATAGACGTTAATACATAAAATAATCAATTACCTAAAGTGTTACTTACAAATAGAGAGTAGTATGAATAAATACGTAAAATTTGCTGTGGAGACTATGATGCTAGGCTACAAAGTAAAACACACAGACATCACCTTATTCTCTTCGAATCAACATCAGGTAAACTGTAGTCATTATGATAAGTTGATCCGTTTGTGCGAGATTCTAAGACTTCAGTCGAAAGTTTTGAATCCTACTTTGAACAACTGCATGTGTCAAAAATGCTTGATTGAAAAATTGAAAAGTTGGAAAAGAGAAGAAAGATGGTTAGTCATACACTGTTCGGCTTGTAACAAAGATGACAGACAGTATTATGTTCTAATTAGGAATTCTGCTGATTCTCAGAAAGATATGTCATAATTTGTCACATAAGCGAAAAAGATAGAGATGGTTACTTACCATTGTGTATGCCACTAGGGAGTTGCTAACTGACTGTGAGACTGCAAATCACCTCCCAAATAACTCACATAACTGGAACTTGCAGAAAATGAAAAACTAACCTCATCATCATCATCATCTAGTTGAATTTCAAGGTGATATGGAATGATCAAACTATCTGCCACAATATATAATCGGAATATGTGTAGGGGAATTCTATCAAAAGTAGGAAAATAATTTTTCGACTGACAGCTTCAATCATCATTGAGGTTGCAAAAATTGATGGGAAAATCAACCCGGAAGAATATTCAATACAATTAATTCTTTTAATAGATTCCGATGACACCATTAGAAGACGAAGATTATTTGGAGAATCTGATGTTAACTGGTACAAGGTTTATTCAGTAATGTCACATTGTATAGAAGGTATGTTGGTGATATCTATGTAATAGGTGACTCACGTAGATGAGGATGTCGCGGTTTGTTAAAAAAAGGCTTAATAGTACCCTACAAGATCATATCAGTGTGACATGTAGCAGCGAAGAAAAAGACCATCAGCTTGCTTTCCTTAATATACTCTTGTGTTGGAGTGAAGATGCATCCTATCACACGATGAATATATAGAAAGCGTATTTACACAGGACAGTAATTGAGTTTCTACAGCCTCAGTCCAATGAAATATAAAACAGGCTTACAGGGATGTTTATTCAATAGGATCCAACGTATTCGTTCATCTGACACGGTGGATGATGAGAGGGAATTTCTAACAGATACACTTATGGAAAACTGATCTGCATTACAGTTTATGAAGCGTTGTAGAAAACAGTTGACTTCGGAGTGTATAATTTCCTCGGTGACGAAGAAGGATATATGTCTTACAGGGGAAAGGAGTAGTGTGATATTGAAAGAGGGAATAAAATCTATTCAACTCAGCTTATCATTGTTAAGACAAGAAGACACCTGCTTCGTCACAAACCTCAACCTTGTGTAAGCGAGAATGCCACATCCCACTATGTTTACCAATTTACATGTATGTGTGTGGGCAGACATACACAAATGGAGGAGTAATTGAATTTTGAGGGAGTTGTGAGGATTTGAAGTAATTGTTCAATGCAGACTAGATTAAGTGAACACAGGTGAATGGCTTGATAAACAGTTTAACACATAAACTTTGATCAATGGAGGTGACAGATATCCATCGTCATCTATAACCAGATATATCATCACAATGAATCACTGGGTTAATACGAAAACAGCCTTCAAGATATTATATAGGAATAGACAAGGCCACATACTGAAATTTGTCGAAGCGCTTGCCATTCGTAAACTTGAATCCACCTTGTGTCTACAAAAACAATTTGTTATCTCATTTAATTTGCCTTGCTAATTCTTATCTGATTATATTATCAAGACTAATGTCACAACCTTTTCATATTCATTATATTTCACCTTTCATTTTCATGTATAAATTAACTTGAGACAAGTAGATGTGTGGGGGATCGGATTGTTCGAAATGTGTTTATTGCACAAATACACATCACATGTTATTCAGATAATCTTCGTCTTCTGATGGCGTTACAGGAAAATACTTTTGTACTCATGACAGTGAAATTAATTGAGACAGTAGGATGTTTTAACCTACAAGCTGATTTCGAAGTGGTCACTGGTTCCAGTTGGACCACGGTCCACATTTTCATCTCTCACCTTCCATCATCACCCAGTATAAAAATGGAATGATAATTTATAGTTGCACCGAAATTATAAATGCTTATCTGATACATATAATCGAAATCTATATAATCTTTAGCCTGTTTAAAGATATTCAGTATGCAAAACTCATTGGAAACGAGTTGGGCATACTGAATTCACGTTTAAGCAAGCATTCCCGTCATATCCATATAGCATTACTCATGCAAATGGAAGAATAGATAAAATTCATAATGGTGGGAGGTGGGGAATAGGAATAGCGAAGAGCAATGTAGGACTCTTGTAAACTGTTCGATACTTACAACAAGCTATGGATACATCGGTAAACTGCATGTCTGATAGGCACCCGGAATATATGATTCTACGCTAAATCTTCATCCTCAAGTCTTACTTTCCACTGTTAACTATATGCGTGCACAAGCAGATAGACAAATTGAAGAGTTTCTCTCTCTCTCTCTCTCTCTTTTCGTAATGAAACGATAAGCAGGAGGTGCAGGAAATCACCTAAGGAATGAAAGGGAATGTGAATGAAGTTGAATAATTCTCAAGTATATTGGTATGGTATCGGGAATAACAGATATTTCTCTTAGGTTTCACGCATATTTCTAACTATTCGGTATGTATATAAATTTCCTTTGAAAAAAATTAATGTCTGAAGGTATTGAACAATCGTAGAATTGACTGTGACGTGAACTTTAATTCTACGGTTTATCTTTATCTCCCTTTCAGTCTCTCTCTCTCTCTCTCTCTGTCATCTGGTATGCGTTTCTTTCATTTTCAGGTTATCCACCTTTTGTCTCACTCAGTGGAATGTTACCTGTAAAATTATTCACTTATCTTTGTACTGATGTATTCCCATAGCTTATTTCTCGTAGTCAATGTATACCATCTTCATTCTCCTCTGTTACTTGTCATTGATTAAAGCCACACACATGTACAATATGAAGTAGAAATATGCCGATGGAAGAAAACTTCTGAGAAGCTAGACGGATTTCAATATCTATATGACAAGTTTCATCATCATGATGATCGATTAATGATTAATGATCTGACAGTAATTTTAATATCATTTTGAAGTGAAACACTCACTTCTCTTGATATAGACTAGTCAAGGAGATTTAGGCTTGGCTTGTGTATTACTCGTCTGTTGGAAAAGGTGAAGACAGTCAGTCAGTCAGTCAGTCAGTCGAGGGAATAGAAAGGAAGATGATATGCAAAGAAGAAGTGAAATTATTCACAATCAAATTTCACGTGTTCAACATCATCTTCATCCTCTTACAGGTGGGAATAA